GGGTGGTCAAGTTCAAATTCTCAAACCAGGTCACAAGAAAATTGCTTTATAGGATCCCTGAATTGGGTCGGAAGGAATCTTAAAGATCATCCAGTTCCAACCCCCCCTGCTTTGGACAGGGATGTCACTCAAAGTCCCATCTAACCTGTCCTTGAACACTTCCAGGGATGGGGCAGCCACAGCTTCCCTGGGCAACCTGTAGATATTTGCAAGCTGTAAACCAGAAACGTGTTTGCATCTTTGAAAAGTGCCTCGTGGAGTTGGGAGTTCGTGACACTCAAAATCCCTGTCCCCTTTTTTAAGTAATGGGCATTTTTTCAGTAACTCACATAAAGTTTGTGCTTTGGGTGGGGAGGGTTGTAGGTGAGCACTGCACTCCCTCTTGGCTTTGCATGTGTTGGGAAGACAGACCAGCCCATGAATGACACCAGCCTGTGGAAATAAGATGAATGGAACTGAAATCCATCCACTGAGACGTGACTCCTGTGGTCCTTTTTTTTTTCCCTTTGCCCAGGCTATGGAGCAGAAGTTGAAGGAGGCTGAGGAAATGCACATCCTGCTGCAGCTGGAGTGTGAGAAATACAAATCTGTCCTGGCAGAGACGGTGAGTTGGATGCCTGGTCACCTGTGTGATGTTTCAACCTGCCTTTTCTTCTGCTCTGAGCTTTCATATCTCTCTCTCTCTTCTTAGGAGGGGATTTTACAAAGGCTACAGAGGAGTGTGGAAGAGGAAGAAAGCAAATGGAAGATAAAAGTTGAAGAATCACAGAAGGAGCTTAAACAGGTATTTCTGAAGATTCTTTTTTTTTTTTTTTTTACAGCAGCCAGGCAGGTTCTGCTTGAAGTCACAGAGGGTGTTAGAGCTCTGTGAAGGCAGGTGTAGAACAGCCCTGGCTGCCTGGTTTGATGTGTTCGTGACCAGGGAATGAAAAAAGGTGACGCCTGCAACAAGTATAATAGGAGCGATTCCTCACATCAGTAGTGTTTTGGTGCTCTGATGCTTTTACATGGGGCTAAGGCTGATTTTTAGTTTTTAAAGGAATGTATTTCCATTAAATGAACCTGCAAAATGGGGGATTTGTCGATATCTTTAGGTTTGTGTGGCTATTTCTGGTGCCATCTTCAGAGGATCAAGAACAGATAAACAGCTCAGGTTGTCAGGTCTTTGGCCATTATGACAAGTCTGTGTCACAGTCCTGTCATCACAGACTGGTTTGGGTTGGAAGGGACCTTAAAGCCCATCTTGTTCCAACCCCCTGCCATGGGCAGAGACACCTTCCACTATCCCAGGTTGCTCCAAACCCCGTCCAACCTGGCCTTGAACACTTCCAGGGATGGAAAGTCATTTGCAGGTGATGCAGGAGGCAGCCAAATGGCAAGCAGTAAAATTAATACTGATGAGATGGGAAGCCAAAGGTTGAGAAATGTACATGTGTCCTGTTAATGTGCCCAGGAATATGTTTTTCTGATCCTGATAACTTGGACAGACAACTTCTGTTGAGCGCCTGGATTTTTGTTCCAAGTCTATTTGTGAATAGATATGGACTCTTTGTGCTAAAATTGAAGTATCATAGGATCATAACAGTTTTTTGGAAGCTGTTAAAATACTGCTCAGTCCATTATGGTCAACTAATTACACTTGAAATTGCCTGCACAGCTTTCCTTTTAGGGAGGCTCTGTTAGCAGAAGTGGGAAGAAAAAAGCCTTTTATGTTTCTTCCCCAGCCTACAATTAAAGTGGGTCAAACCGCTTTTTTTGAAAAATAATTTCCAAAGTATTTCTGCTTAGTGAATTTGAGTGCCAGAGTGTGAGCCTGGAGCAAACAGATGGTTTATAAACATCCTGTTTGAGGGGCTTACAGAGGCTGTCAGATCTTGAACTAGAGATGTGCTACCATCTGCTGCACTTACATAGCCCCTAATAAGGCTAAAAATGCTGGTTTTGAGTATATGATGGAGTTTATTCCCAGCCTAGGAAGGATATTTCCTTTACCATGGCTAATGGACAACTGGCTTAGTCTTCATATTCCAAATATTTCAGCTGTTTAGTCTCTAAATATGTCAAAGAACTTCTTAGGTTGGGGAAGGTAGATGTTCCAACAGAGATATATTGAATTATTTGAGCGCCTTATTTTATTCAGCACCTGATTTAATCCTCAGCATTTTTAGAAGATAGGAGCAATCTCGTGTGTGTAAGGAGAGTTTGCCTTTGACCAGCCCAACTAAATACCTTTATTTTTCCTGAAAACTGCAGATGAAAACTTCAGTCACTTCTTTGGAGCACGAGGTGGAGAGGTTAAAGGAAGAAATCAAAGAAGTTGAAACTGTACGTGCAGGTGTTTGGGTTTTTTGTTTCCCCCCTTGTCTTTGAAGATTTGTGTTACTCAAACACGATTTGGGCTTTGTGCTGTAAATCTGAACTTTCTGGGCTTCCCTCCTGCAAGCAGCACAGCCTGTTGCTGCACTTTTAATCTGAGTCTTTTGGGCAGTGTTTTTTAAATAAGCAGAGAAGCTGAGTACTGGAAATTGTGCTGTCTTTTTACTTCTGTGCTCACCCACTGGGGCCTTTTCTTGTGAGGCCGAGCAATTTACTGCTTGTCGACAATCTTGGGCTCGATTCTTTTTCTTTTTATCTTTTTTTTTTTTTTTTAATTATTATTTTTTTGGAGTGTAACAGTTTAAATCTGCGCTGTGCGATCGCTGCATTCGAAATGCTCTCTAAATGTCACGGAATATTTGATATAAATTTACCAGCTAATTATAAATCAAGCGAACGACACCGTGAGAAAAGCACGGTGTGGGGGGGGAAACATCTGTTTTAACTCTGTTTTTCTGTTTCCAGCTTAAAAAAGAGAGAGAACATTTGGAAAGTGAACTAGAAAAGGCAGAGATAGAACGATCCACTTATGTTTCAGAAGTCAGAGAGGTAAACTTGATTGTCCAAGCTGTTCTTTTTTTTTTTTTTTTTTTTTTTTTTTTTTTTTTTTTTTTTTTTTTCCCCTCCCCCCATTATTATTTCTTTTGGTTTCCCAGTTGGCTGGCAAACTAACCCAGTGCTTAGCCCCCCGTGGCTGAGGAGTTTGTACGCTTGTGACCTTTAGGGTAGAGCGGCACGCTTAATAACTTGAGCAAGAAGAGAAGGGGGCATCTCCTCAGGAGGCAAATCCTAAACCTCTAAACTTCATTTCAGCTCAAAGATCTCTTGACTGAATTGCAGAAAAAACTTGATGATTCATATTCTGAAGCAGTAAGACAGAATGAAGAGTTAAATTTGGTAAGAAGCTCGTTCTCCGTTGGGCACAAACCAGGCTCCCAGCATACGTATGAAGCGGAGACTTATTTCAAATCCTGTCTGTTCTGCTAACCTCTTCAGCTTGATATTTTTGTCCATTGAAATCATTTATGTAGTCTGACTTTTTGACAATTTGTCTCTCTTCTCTGCTCCTAACAATAGCATGTCTGGTTCTTAAGACCTTTTTTTTCCCCCCACCCCCCCTAAAAGTCTGTAAGACTTTTCGTTCCTGAAACTTCTTGAGAAGATTTGCTGTGTAGGCATGTGCAGCAGCAAATGTAGTAATGGCCTTGGAGCAACAAAAGTGGTGCTCTCTTAACTTGAGGATTATTCTCTGATGGTTTTTGTGGTGGTTTTTGTTTTTTTTTCCCCAAAGCTTTTGAGGATGCAACTGTGGTATCTGTGTTCTGACTGCACAGAGCCTTTTCCATCCTGCTCTGTACGTACAGAAATTGGCCCAAACCAATGTTAGATTGATTCACAGCATCCAGCCATTCAGCTGCTGACATCCTGCTGTGGCTGAATAGCTGTGCTGGCTTGGTGCTTGCATGTGAAACAGCGTGTTTGGCTAGAAATGCTTCCAGCCAATGCTGCTCCTATAGCAGCTTTCTCAAGAAGGACTTGGATTAACTGAGGATAGACCCGAGGATTGCATGGTTTTCCAGTCTGAGCCCTTCCCCTTCTCCCTTGTTTCACTGATGTGGTTTTTAAGGCTGCAGGAGCAAGTCAGATCCTTCCTCTGCTTGTGTTTTTGAACGGTGCTTTCTTGCTTTCGGAGCCAGAATTGGGGAAGGTTGTCTCTGTCACCGTGTCTGTGGGTTTTAGAGTGGGTGGTGGGGCAACCCGTCACCACAGGCTGAGCTGATCCCACCAGGGTGCTGCCACTGATCTGACTGGGTTAAAATGGGGTTTGTTTAGAAAAAAAAAACAACACCATCACAGCACCAATCTGCTTAAGTGAATAGTCTGCTTGCCTCAGCAACCAAAGCCTCTCCTTTTGAAAGCGAGGGAAATGGGAATTGAATGCATATCTTGGAGTTAATCAGTAAACGCCAACCTCTTGAATATAAGAGGCAACAATTTATTATGTCTGTACACAACAAAAGCTTACAAAGCTGAGCTCCCTGCTAGGGCAGCTTGAGTGCAATCTGATGGGGCTGTGAGGAGGTGGGGAACAACTACCTGCATGCAAATAGCTCAGGAAAGCTGTCCAGTGGATGTGAGTGGTTTTTACAGGAGGCTGAGGAATAGAAACGATGGGATTTTGGAACACACCACTTATAAGGTGAGCAAGGACAGATAGGCTCAAACTGCAGAGGAGCTCAGCAGCGCTTCTCCAAAATGTCGAATTCACCAGTCCAGGCGCTCCAAAGGGGGGGAAGCCTTCCAGGGGTGAGACAAATAGAACGTGCAGGTTTGGAATTGGTGAGAATTCAGGGCTCTGAGTACCCCATTGTTCCCTCCTTTAATCTCCTGCTGGCTCCCGAGAAGATTGACAGCAGGAATGGTGAACATTAGCACAGCTCACTTCAGAGGCACAAATCCAGCAAAATTGGCACTCGAGCTCCTTGTTAACACTCCTGTTCAAGGCTCGAGCCTCAAGTGCTGTGGCTGGTTCTGTGTGCTGCGCTGTAGTGCAATCAAAATATCCTTTAAAAAGTGTTTATCCTTCTGAAGGCTGCAGTTTAAGGGCAGCCAGTGCAGAGTATTCATCCCTCTTGACTGAAATAATTTCACTTTTTTTTTTGGATTGAATCTAAACACAATCGACAACTTAATATCCCCCTGTCAGTGATTCGTGCCTTGATGTGACATTAACAGATTGGTTAAGTCAACATAGTTGTAGTAAGTGGTGCTTTATTAAGATGACAAGTAGAGCTTTTCAGTTTACTCAGCAGTAAAGAGACTGTTTAGCCTGAACTAGGAAGATGACAATCTACATTTTTCACATATTTGCTGTGAATTAAGTTGGAGCCTGGGCTGACTTCTGTGATAAGGGTGCTGGGGAGGCTTATGCACTGTCAGGGTTGCTAATGCTCCTCCTGGCAATGCAGTTTAAAAGTTGAAACCGCTCCTAACGAAGCCGGTGCCAACCGTGTCCTTCCTTCTGTAGTTTCCATTCTTTTCCGTTTATCTTCGCAGATGGAGTCTCTCTTCCTTGGCTGTCCCTGTAAACCTCATCATACATGTCCACTAATCCAGTGTGTGCAGTAGTTGTCAGTTATCTTACTCCCTTTGCAGTCCATGTGCCCTGGGTTAATCCGTGGGACAGGCGGATGAAATCTCTCTGTGTGTGTGTCTAAGGACAAACTGAGTTTCTTTGCTACTGTTTTGCAGCTGAAAACGCAGCTAAACGAAACACTATCCAAACTCAAGGTTGATCAAAACGAGAGACAGAAGGTGGCTGGCGACTTGCCCAAGGTAAGCAGAGACCCTTAACAGTTGCAGGTAGAAATTTTGATCAGAAACTCTCAAGACCTGTAGTTTTGTAGTGCTGGAAGAGGTGATTTGAGCAGCTGGAGGGAAGTGCCTGCCTGGTGGGGTGTCTGTGACCGTGGGTTTAAGAGCTCATGCAAGATCCCTGCACATCTGTGGAAATGATAAAACTGCAACCAACAGCTCTGTTTAATTATCCTTCCTGAAAGACTCCCTCGTCCATGATAATTTCATGCTGGTGGGAACAAGTGGTGATGGGGGGGCTGACAAATAATTCTTTATTTAAAAGAAACCCAGCCTAACAAAACAGCTCGTTCCCACAGCCCTCCACCCACAGCACAGCCTGAGGCTTTTAAATCCAGTCTCACATGGCAGAGGGTTACAAGTTGGTTTACGAGCCATCAGCCCACTGACATGTGCGTTACACATCAGCTATAACCCAGGAGACTCCAAATACCTGCTGTAACAAGGAATTTAAAATTTTGCTCAGGACAAGTTACGTTGGGTGTTGACATACGAAGCGAGCTGTGCTGGTGTTCTGTGGTATATTCTGTATAAATGCACATCTGTGATTAGGATTTTTGAGACCTGCCTGCCCTCCTGCTCTTGCAAAAAAAAAAAAAAATTTCGCTGCACAGTTTTTTACCTAATAACTTGACGTGAGACTGTTAAAGCTTCCCTGTAGAGTTGCTCTCAGATGCAGGCAGGCTGACATGCAACATGCTGATTGTAAGGAGACATGTCAGTCTTGGCAAATGTGCTGGTCCCTTGAGCAAATCTGGCATAAAAACAGATTTCCTCCTGAACACTGATTTCCTGTGTCTCTGGCGCTCTCAGGGAGATAGTTGGGGGGGGTTGCTTTGCTAATTGTTGTGCCTTCCCTGTTTTTTTCCTTTCTTTTTTTTTTTAATTTTTTTTTTTTCTCCTTGTGCAGGCCCAGGAGTCTTTGGCAGCCCTTGAGAGAGAAATTGGAAAAGTTTTTGGGGATGCCAACGTTATTGAAAACAGCGACGTTTGCACAGAGTCGGTGAGTGTTTCTTTGAGCCTCCTCTTTTCGGGGGCAACACAAACCCCCCCTGCAGAGTGGGAACTTTGGGAAGTGAGGTGCGCCAAAGGAACAGGTTGTGTGCTGCTGGGGGGGAAATGAGGGCTTGGTGAAGCTTCCAGTCCTTGTCAGGGTGGTGTCCCAGAGCTGTATCCCAAGGATGCGTTGGGAGTTCTGCTGTCACCTGGATTGTGTGACCTCTCTCCCCCGTGGCTCAAATCTGCAAGGAGGAAGGGGAGGGATTCTGTACAGGAAATCTGGGCTTTTGGTGGGTTCTTGATTTGGTTTGGGCAGCACTGGGAAGATCCCCGGGCTTGTCCCTCCGGGAAGGGAAGGGGGAAGTTAAAAATAAATATGCTGATGGATAAATGAGCTTAAAATACTCACTGTTGGGTTGGCCCGTGCTGACATCTGTAACACCAGAGAGAGCCAGTTCTGCATGACCCATAACACCAAGGCAGAGGATGTCTCTTGCCAGAACATGGTTCCTTCTGGACAGAAGTCGACTTCACCTGGTCCTGGCTCCTGGGAATTTGTGTGGACCTTGATATGGTCCAGCAGCAAAATCTTGCTTTCCTGATCTTCAGGAAGGAACAGACCTGAGCTCTGCCCCGTGCTGTGGGTGGGTGACCCTCCAGCACTGCTGGTGCTCCTGTATCCTCCAGCAGTGGCAGTGCAGTTTTAGGGTGTGGAATTCGGTGGGTTCTCTCTGGGGTGGCCTGTTTTCATGCTTGGATGATTAGTATATTGATCCTAAAAAGATCCACATCACCTGTGGAGGTGATGGAGCTGTGGCTTTGTCACTGGTGTTCTCCATCTCTGGAAACAAGAACTTCAGAACAGCTTCGGAACAGCTTTCCAGGAGGCACTTGGGAAGGGGAAGGCTAAAGCAGACGCTCTCCCAGCATGTTTTCCACATCTAAGTGGTGTCAATGGAATTCATTACCCATTTTCCTTCTGATGGATAGAGTGAAAGGAAACGCTGTCGTCTGATGGGGAGGGGAGCGTTTGCTGATAGGACGGATAATTTATATCGACTCCTTTCAGCTGCTGAAAGTAAGTGGCTTCATCAGCTGCAGGAGGAAGCTCTGGGTCCTCTGAGGAATACTGTGGGAAAGCCTTTGTAGTCATTAGCAGGAATGAAATGGCTTTTCCAGGGTAATCAGTGGTGGATGCTGATGGACTTCTGTGTGGGCTCACCATGTTCAAGCCAGGGCTGCAGCTGGGCCCGTGAGACCTCGGGTGTCCCAACCCTGTGAGCTGCTTCCCAGGAGGGTGGTAGGTCTGCTGAGCCCTTCAGCAGAAGCCCAGGGGATTCTGGTGACAATCAGGTGCTGTGTGTCCAGCAGGCTGGAGAGAATCCCCCCCTCAAACCAATCCCAGCTGTTCCCTCTGCTGTGCATTTACGGCTTGTCCATGTGGTAGGTGGGAACAGCGATGGCATCAGCCATGGCATGTGTGCCTGGTGACTCTGGTGAGCCCTCCTGAGCCAGGTGTCATTAGATGTGCCCTGTGGTGCCCCAAATGTGCTCGTCTGACTTAATTGCTTTAGCCTTAACTCACATAACCCCTCTGGTTCTCGCATTGCTTCTCTCCCTTCTCTTCAGCTCCGTGGGCACGTTGTGGAACCCAGGTTTTCTGCCAGAATATCCATGGCTTTATTCTGAAGAGGAGTGTGGAAAAACAGTCCTAACAAACCTGTAATTAAGCCTTCATTAGTAAAAATACATTAATTGTCTAAGCAGCGCTCTTGACAGGTAGCCATTGGCAGAGGCTGGAATTAGAACATTTCCTTTATCTTTTCTCCGAGCCTTTTTTGCTGCCTTTTTGTTTTTGGTTTTAGTTTTTTTTTTTAAGGGGGGGGGGGGGAAGGAAACTGTCTCCCCAGAAGCCTAAAAACCCAGCTGAAAATAGCTCTGAGATCAAAAAAGAAAGTCTTCCAGCCACTTCCACCTAGCAACAGTGCCTCTTTTTTCACGCAGGACCTGAAAACACATGCTCGAAAATGAGCGTATTTGTTCCTTCTGGATACTGGAACCAACCCACAAAATTGAGAAATGATACTTGCATAAACCCTCAAACACACTCAGAGTGTTTTCTTTAGATTCCTTTTCTTTCTGTTTAAAAATAGACCATTTGGGTTTTCTAATCAGCTGCTTTGTCACTTATGGGACCAGCTGATGACTAAAGGGGGCCTTTTAGTGTGCTTTAAGGAAGTCATTTAAATTCAGCAGCTTGCTTAGGCACTGAGCTTATTTTGAGGCTTATCTCAATTCTAACATGCTTTCCCCCACCCCCACCCCAAATCTCAGTGTAAAACATTCCACCACTGGAAACTGGAAATGCCAAATGTGTGGAACAGTGCAGGGGAATCTGTCCAGACGGTTCAGCACCTGCCTCAGCTACTGGGTCTGTGATCACAGGGCCTTCCCCACTGCTGTCCTCTTCCTCTCTTCATCCCTATATCCCAAAGAGATGGAATCATGGAATCCCAGAATGGTTTGGGTTGTTTGGAAGGGACCTTAAAGATCATCTCATTCCAACCCCCCTGTCATGGGCAGGGACATCTCCCACTATCCCAGGTTGCTCCAAGCCCCGTCCAACCTGGCCTTGGACACTTCCAGGCGTGGGGCATCCACAGCTTCTCTGGGCAACCTGTGCCAGTGTCTCACCACCCTCACAGGGAAGGATTTCTCCCATATATTTCACCTCAATTTCTCCTCTTTCCCTTTTATTTTCTCTTTTTTCATGGCGAGCAGGGGCCTGGGGCACAGCAGTGACTCCGTAAGGCAGCTGTGTACTCCTGTGTTAGCAGGAGCTGCAGAGTGACTGTGGTGAGCCCAAATCCACTGGGAGTTAGTCAGGATTGGCCCCAGGAGGGTTAGGGATGTGTCTGTAATTCGTGAGTAAACACTGCCTGAGATTACTGAGATCACAAAAGAGAAGCGAGAGGGAGTAAGGGAGGGAAAAGCTCTTCCCAGAGATGGGGCTGAGAGTGGACTGAGAGGCTCCTTTGTTGCTCCTGGTTCCAGTGCTAATGCACAGGCACCCTCATCCCTGGCAGTGTTGGTCAGTGCTGGATTCATTTGTCTGCTGGGCTGCTCATTGCCTTTCTACTCCCATCAGTCTGGATGAGATCACTAAGCCAAGCCTCAGCCTTGACAGGCCTGATCTTCTACTTCACTAAGGGTAAAACAGGCTAAGGCTACCCTAACACAGATCCCAGTGATTTTTTGCAGTGGGAGATGTTTACCAGTTGTGCTCAGCAAGAGCTTTGCTGTGGATTGTTTTGTTCCCCTGTCTGAGCCCGGAGTCGTTTCTGTAACGGTGCAGGTGCTTGAGTTTGATTTACTGCTCACTCTGCATTTCCAGCCAAATGGGAACGGGGAAAATGGCTCTCTCTGAACTCCCTCTAATTTCCCTGGAACTCTGGGGAGAGATTTGCAACCACATAATGCATCAGTCTCATTCTGTTGGTAGCACTGGTTCAGTCAGAGCCGGGTTGGCCGATTCCGAGCGCCTGGAAACGCCTCTGTGCTCCTGTTGGGAACTGGCTACCTCTGCATTGCTGACACCAAGGCAGAGCTGCTTATTTTTAGCTGTTAAATTTCCAGGAAAAGCCCTCCTGCAGGTTATCTGCATGTCTGTGTCCTGAGCTGAGCGAGGAGCAGCAAGGTGTGTTTTAGATGTGGAGTGCTCGGTGCGTCTCTGGAGGAGTTAATCAATAAAGGCAATAAAACAGGGATTACACAGCACTGTTGGCTCAGCAAGGCTGACAGGCAGGGAGGCAGGAGGGGAAGAGTCCATCTTGAGTTGTGACACTTCCTGATTAATAAACTGTTGAACTCCTGGGGGAAAAAAAAAAAAAAAAGGAGAATTTATTTTTGTTTGAAAACGCAAGCTCAGCACTTTCATTTCAGCACAGGGAAGCAGCTCTTTGGCTCGTGGCAGCTTTCCTTTTCCCTTTTCTGTTTTGACTGGTGCTTAGACTGCTTTGTGAAGCCCTCATCCAAGTCACTGGCAAGTGGGCATTTCCCAGGGGCTTGGAGCAGGGTTGAATCCGTGGGATAGCTGGTGGGCCAGCCAGCCCCTGTCCTGAGCCTGAGCAGGAGCGGTGTGGGTGGGGAAGGGTGTGTATCTCCAGCTGTTCCACATGCTGTTCCACAGATCCTCAATCAGACCCCCTCCTTGGTGGTCCAGCAGCCTTGTTGTTCCAGCTGTGGGGTCAGAAGCCATCCCTCCCCCCTGGGTGCCCCCCAGCCTCTGTTACAAACTACGTGCCCCCATCTGTGGGGTGGTTTCAGCCAGGCTTGTGGGGATGTGGGCTAATAACCTCCGAGGCTGGGTCAGCTGTGGATACAAGCACAATTCCTGGAAGCAGTAAATGAAGTCCTGGACAAGGCAGGGTGGGAGCTGGAGGTCAGCAATGCTCTCACTGGCATTCTCTGTGTGCAGGTAATTCCCTGGAACAGGAAAGGGCTTCTTGACTTTGAACCACGTTGTCATTAAACGTGGCCATAACCCTCTGACTTACAAGAATCGTTCCCATCTGCACAACGAGTTTGTAATTTTATACAGAGGATCTAATTCTAGGCTTTCTTGGTAATTAGATTGTAAATGAGTTTTTAATGATTTCTTCTTTTTTTTTTTTTTTTTTTTCCCCCCCTCTTCTTCCAGGAATTGACTGATAAAAGACTAAATGTGGCGGTGAATCTTAACCAGGATGTAGGTCATCTCAAGAAGCTGCTCGTGTCAATAAGCCAAATGCTGGCAAAGGGATGAGAACACTACCAGAGGGCAGGTGGGTGCAGCCAGTTGAACTGGTGGGTGGCTGCTGGGGAAGCCACTGGTCTGTGGTGGTTGGGACCTCGATCAAATTTAACAAGTCTGGTGTCAAAATACGAGGCTTTTTAGAATCATATCGTGGAATCGTTGAATTATCAAGGTTGGAAAAGCCCTGTAAGGCCATCGAGTCCAACCTCTAAACCAGCACTGCCAAGGCCACCACTAAACCATATAACCAAGTGCCACATCCACACATCTTTTAAACCCCTCCAGGGATAGTGATTCCACCACTGCCCTGCTGTTCCAAAAAAGCCTGGCCCTGAGAACACTTTTTCAGTGAAAAATTTTTTTCCTTATATCTAATTTAAATTCTGTGTGCAAATCCTAACAAGCTTCTGGTAGGTCCTGGATTTGTTCCTCCACGGATCCACACATCAGTTAGCTGAGACTGATCTTGTATCCCCTTCCCTTTCGCCACCTGCTGCTTCACGCAGCGAGTCACCCCAAGTTTTGTGCTCCCAGAGCCTGTGCCTTTTTTCCTTCATCCCAGCAAACTACCTACACTTCCATGCTCTGATTGCTTTGGGATGGAGGATATAAAGTAACCCCCTGGGCTTCCACTGAGCTCCCAGCACTGGCTCGCAGTGGTCATGGGGAGATGAGTATCTCGAAGCATCAGTCTGGCATGAACTCTTATCCAATTGCAGACACGTGGACAAGGCTTTTATTTTCAAACACAGCCAGTTTGGAAACACGGGCCTTTGTGGCTGACTGCATCGTGCTGGTAAACTCCTTAAATGTCAGGTTTGGATAAGCTCGAAACTGAGCTTTCTCAGGCAGCTCATGCAGGTTGTGATCCGGGTCACAGAGTGAAGTGTTTGGGTTGAGAGGCAGCAAAGCCTTGGCACTGAATGAGCTGCTACAAGGAGTGTCAGAGCTCCCTCTCATCCGTTGAGGAGGAGGAGGACTTGTTTTATTCCTGATTTAGGTATTTTTTTATGCTCCTGCCTCTATGACACAGCACCGACAGCCGAGCTGGTCTTGAGGCCGATGGGGTTCAGGGTGGGATGAGCCTGGTCTTACAGGACTTCTTATAGGATGGGCTTGGTGCAGGTGGGAGGAAGGGGCTTTCCTGCACCTTGACTCTGCTCTGGGAGGTTGTTCTTGCTCAGCCTCCACCATCCTGGCTTGTCCCTCTGAGACCGGTGTTGGCCAACACCGACCAAGTGCTGTCAAGGTGTGGATTTGTGTTTGGGAACTGCTCGTCTGACGTGGTGTTTGTGTTTCTCTTGCAGAGTGAAGTCACGGGGGAATCGTTAATTTGAGGATAGCAGAAGGCATTGTATTATATTTTGCCAAATTAAAGCCTTATTTATGTTTTCACCCTTTCTACTTCGTCAGAAACACTGAACAGAGTTTTGTCTTTTCTAATCCTTGTTAGACTACTGATTTAAAGAAAAAAAAAACCCAACTCTGTAGACACCTCCAGAGTTTAGTTTTATAATAAAAACAAACCTGTTTGGATAATTAGACCTTTACATTCCTGGAGAGACAGTAAACACATAATCTTTTGTCTTATTTTGCTCAATAAAACTTGTTCAGAAAACTCCAACGTGGTAAAGTCACCAGTGGGATATGACATTTTAATACTGATGTTGTACACTGTTTTACTTAATTACATTTTTGGGATTAGCTGCCTCTGACTTCAACCTCAAGTAAACACTCCTTTTTTTTTTTTTCTTTTTTTTTTTTTTTGGGTTGCTAATGTAATCAGTTTTTGTAATGGTGTCAGCAAATAAAGGGATGCTATTATTCAAGGTGTTCCTGCTCTCTTCTTTTAAGTGAAGGGGGGTGACTCAGGTGAGGTTTCCACCTCTCCCCTCCCCGAAATGAGCATCAGAGTGCACACAATGTGCTTTGTTTTTGGGCAGAGGAGGAGCCACCAGCTTGAGAAGAGGCAAACTGGGGAGCTTGCCAACTGCAGAGCAAGTTTTTGCTTTAAAGAAAAGGTACTGAGGTTTTAAAAAAAATACCAGAAATCCCCAGCAAAACCATCATGCAAAGTGTGGTTCTGTTGTGTTATCTTGGGGAAAAATCAGGGAGTAGAAGGGAGATACAGAAACACTGGATTTTGTGGCAAATCCATGTGCAGAGTAATCTCCACTTGCCCTGGATCTGCCTCCTGGATGGGAGTCTGTGCTGGAAGGAGTTTTGGGAAGGGGGTTCGGGTGCTTTTTTTACCTTGTTGTTTGTTTGTTGGGAACAAATCTGGGGAGAGAGTTTGATAGGACAGGGATTCTCCTGGGAGTGTGGGGAGATCAGGGGTTTTGCTTTGGGATTTTCAGTTCTAGGGGATAATTCGACGGGCAAGGTGAGAGAGGTGGTTGCTTGGTTCTTGAGAACACTTGAGGACACGATTATCTGTGGGAAGGCAATAAAACAGGGGTCAAAATGAGTTAATTGTAGAGGCAAAGCAATTCAAACTGCTCACCCTGAGCTTCTCACACTCTTGTGCCTTTTTATTTTTTGGTTATTGTTTTGGCCCTTTGTCACCCACCCCCTTCAACCAGACAGCAGATGAAGAAGTCTCTCCCTTACATGGACCCAGTGGTTTCCTGGATGATGCAAGTCCTGCTGAGAGCTGTGAAATAGCTCAGAAACGGGAGAGAAAACAGAAAAAAACCTTGGTTTCTTCACAAAAGCAGCTACCCTGGGGTTCCAGCCGTGGCCATTAAGCTGTCATGTGCCTTGGAGGTGTTATTTCGTGGAATTAAATGCTATTAGTCTAACTTTTACAGGTGGCTTGATGCAGAAAGCATTTTTAGTGCCGGGGACACCCCCTGCAAGTAGATTCAAAGGAAAACCAGAACCCTGGAGGAAATGGGCAGCAGGGAGTCCCCTCCATGGAGAGCCTCTTTCCCTGTGTGCAGCTGCTCTCCAAGGCCCTGGGAGAGCTGGTGGTGAGACCCAGGTTGCACAGGTACCAAGCAGAGCAGGGTTGATTGTGGCTGCCCCATCCCTGCAAGTGTCCAAGTTGTGCAGGTTGGACGGGGCTTGGAGCAACCTGGGCTAGGGGAAGGTGTTGGGGTTGGAGTGAAATGATCTTTAAGGTCCCTTCCAACCCAAATCATTCTGGGATTCACCTGTGCCTGTCCTCCCTGTGGCTGTGAAGGCAGGGCAGGTTGAGGAGCTGCTGCTTTAATCCTGTGCCTCCCTCTCCAGGAGGGAGAGGTGATGTCCCAGTGGCACAGGTAATGTCCCAGTGAGAACTGGGATCTGCCCATAAAGCAATGTCCTTTTTTCCTTGAAAAGGTGGATTTTTATATGCTGGTGATTCCTTGCTCAAGGGAGAAGTGCCCCTGGAAGGGACAGCAGTGCCTGGAGATCCTCTGGGTGCAGCCTTTGGAGGAGCAAAGACAGTGTGAGTGCAGGAATGGAAACCTGGTTGTGCCTCCAAGGCTCTTCATTTTCTGTGGATAAAGCTGCGGAGCAGGGGGTGAAGGTGCTGCTGCAGTGCTCACTTTAGAAAGGGGAGAGATTTGCAGTGTCATTCCCTTTCTCCCTTGGCAGGAATTCCCCCTGGAGAGGACGGGAGACCTTTCTTTTTGAAATCTGAGTGCGGGTTTTTGTTTTGCTTTGGGAGATGAACGGAGGTGTCAAAGACAGCTGAGAAAAGATCCCCTGAGAAGCCCAGCTGAGCAAACCCTAATCCCCTCTCAGAAGGGTGAGGAAGGGTTAGGCTGGTTCCCCAGGAGCAGCTGGAAGAAGGATGGATGCAGATTGGGAAGGCTTTGCCTTGCAAGTTTGGTCACTGAGAAATCCCTCCTGCTCTGAGCATCTGCTGAGAGAAAACGGAACGAGGAAAAAAAAAAAAAAAAGGAAGTAAAAATGTGTGTGAAGCTGATTCATCAGTGCAAAGGTGGAGCTGGTGCTCGGCGTGTCCCCGGCGCCGGGAGCTCCCGGTTCTCCGCGGAGCTCCAGCCCTTGGTTCCCTTCGTTCCCAGCCGGGCCGGCAGCCGTGGCAGGAGGCAGGTTGGTCTCTGCCCGCGCTAGAGGGAGACAATAGCTAATGGATACAGGGATGCTTTCCTTGGAAAAAGCCCAAAGTGGGCTGTTCAGCTGCTGGCAATGGATTTTTTTATTATTATTATTTATTTTTCTAGAGGTGACTTGCACCAGCAGAGTCTGTGCCGTAACCCGAGGGATGCGGCGCCGGGCGCTTCCCGATGAGGTGCTGCCTGTGGTGCCTTTTTCCCCTGTACAAAACCGGCTCCTCTGGCTTTTTCTGTTCGTTGTCAACCCCTTCCAAATGGAAATGAGAAGCGCAGGGGGACGCTCTCTGAGCTGTCTGGCTGCTCTCCCCGAAGTTGTGCTGCCTCTTCTGCGTCCCCCCAGCACAGCCCTCCCACCCTTTCCCAGCTGCATCCAGCAGACGGGAGCAGCAGGTTGTGTACCCAGTGGCTGCTGTTGGGTTTTCTCAGGCAGTGACTCACCCAGCTATTTATTACTGTGATTAAAGAAAGAAAGCTGGTGCGACTTTAATTCGACCCCAAATAATTCAAGTGATTTTTTTTCCCCATAAAACCCCTTTGCAAGGACAGAGCTGTGTGTTCTCCCCCATGTCCCCTTTGTTCCACGTGACCTGGGCTTTTTGCACTCTCAGGGATGTTTGCAATCAGCTGTGGGTTTCCTTGAATCACTTGGTGGCCACTGAGGGTCTTGTCAGGCTGATTTTGGCAAGGCTCTGCCTTTTGCCTTGGACCAGGGGGGCTCTTCTGCAGACCTGGGTGGAAGCTGGGAACGGGGTCAGCTGCTGGAAGTTCCTTGTGGAACATCCAGGAGGTGAGAAACACCACGTTTCTTCCAGATTTCAAGGTTAAACATCATCTTCAAGCAAACCCTTCTCTGTGGGGCCACGCTGCCTGTGCCCTGGATGGAGAGCAAAGGTGTTGGGAAGAAAGTCTCTGGTGATGCCATGGGGTGTGGAGCCTTCAAAAGTTTTAAGAGGAAAAGGAGAAAACTACTGCTCTTCTAGCATTCAGATTTTCTTTCACTTCTTTTTGGAGATGCAACTTGCTCTGACAAATCCCTGTGGATCCCCTGTCAGCCCTGGCTGGGCAGTGGCTGTGGGGGAGCGATGGGCGAGGGTTGCTCCCTGGGAGGAGGCTTAACCAAGTGTCTTCATGGGGGATGTTTTCTCTCCCAAACTTGCTCAGAGTAAGGCTGGACTAGTTCCTGAAGGCACAAATGGTGGTGGTTTTCGCTGAGAGCAGCTTTGCCTGTCACAGGGGCAGGATTAGAGTCAGAGAGGAGGACTCAGCTGGTCAGACCTTCATCTCGATGTTGTCCTCTGTGAGACTCTGCCAAAGCAAACAAGTCAGTAAAAGCCTTGCAGAGTTTCCCAAGTCTATGTGAGAGGCCAGGGGAAGAGGGACAATGCCAGGGAATGCCAGGACTTGCTTGGGTGATCCCCAAAACCCTCTGTGTCCTCAGCAGCCGTGAACAATTCCCTCTCTAAGCCCATCTCCATCCTTCAGGGAGATGAGGGATGGTCTGCTGCTGTTTGTCCACTGCTGGTGTGCAGCCCTGGGACACTTCACCTCTGCTCCAGCAGGTGTCCAGGAGGAACCCTGGTGCTCCCAGGGTGGGTGGGGTGTGGTGTGGTGGGACACAGGTCGGTGCAAAAGAACTCGTTTCAATTTCTATATTTTAAATTTCTAGGCTTCTGTTTTTCCAAGCATACCCTCGGGAGGGTTGCTGAGGTTGCTGCTGGGAGCGACCCCCTTGTGTTTTGGGGTGGGGACAGGCTGTGCTTTGGGCTTGGTGCATCCCCAGCACGACCCTGCACGTGGCTCGTCGATGGCTGTTCGCCGCTTCCTGCGGGGACGCTTCTATTTTTGGAGCGGTTGCACCTAAAAATACATCTCCAGGCTCCTGGGGAAGCTGGCTCTGCATCATCGAGGAGCTAATTAAACTGGGGGAAACGCAGGCCCTCGAGCAGGGCTTGTTCCGTGTTGCTGAAAACGGTTTTTAGGGGGTTGGGGGTTTTTTTTTCCCCCTCTCTTTTTTTCAGTGATCCACGTCCTTCTTGCGCCACGTGGGCAAGGACTGGACATTCACCCTTTCTCTGAGGGAAGGGCAGGTTCATATCCCAGGAGCCTGAGCATTAATGCTTGTTTTTGTGCAGCTGTGTGTCCCCCCCCAAACCCTAAACTTCAGCCTCAGCCCCTCTGTGACCATCACAAGGCCCCCCGAGCCCCCTCAGTGGACAAGGGATGGGGGCTGGGCAAACAGCTTGGGCTAAAGAAGTTTCATCCTATTCCTTTCCGGAGATTTAGGGTTAATATCCAACTCAGATCTCCATCCTGGCCCTCAGAAATTCTTTATATTGACAAAATCACTGTCAAATCTGGCCACGGGTCCTGTTTGTATTGCTGTGGGACCGAAAGCCGTGGGGTGGGTGGATGCCCAGGAAAATTCATGGGCTTTTACCCTTGTGATGTTCTCACGGGACCTCTTTGGGTAAAACACCCATCACCACCTCAACCAGCCTTAAAGCACAGAAAAGAAAGACCCTGAGACCATTTCACTGCCCATATTCAAGGCCAGCACGTTCCTGCAGCACATTAATGCTGCCTGGGGCCGTTCCTGGAAGACCTGACCTCCTGCTGAAGCAAATGGGCTCCTCCTAATCCAACCCTATTGGAAACAACCTG